CATTTTACTAAAAACAATTCTTTTATTCAAATCAATTAGGATTTCAAAAAAATCATTTAACTGAACATGATTGTATTGAATTAGTTGATCAAATAAATAATGGCTTTAGCGAAAATAAACTTACTTTAGATATATTTAAAGTTCTCTTACAAGCTTTTGACACTGTCGATCATTTTGTTTTTTTAGAAAAGTTGAAGCATTACGGAGTAATTAATGAGGTCTACTATTGGATTAAAAGTTACCTCTCTAACAAAAAAACAATATGTTCTAAATCAAAAATGCGGAATACTTAAAATCATATGTGGAGTCTGCAAGATACAAGATACTTAGTCCTCTCTTTCTCTCAGTTTACATAAATGACTTAGTTAATGCATTACTAAAGTTAAACCCAAGTATGTTCGCAGATGACAAAAACATATTTTTTTAACAATAGTATCAAACAACTTAATGCAGGCATGAATTTTGAATTAAGTAAGATAAATGACTGGTTTATAATGAACAAACTCTCATTAAACGTTGAAAAAACAAAGTATACCCTTTTTCATGAAAAGATTCAAGAAGAAAATCTTTTCCTTAAATTACCAGCCCTATTTTCAAAAAGCAAGACTATATAAAGTTTTTATGAATACATTTTAACAATAATTTATATTGGCTTCCCCATATTAAATATTTACAATAAAAAGTTAGTAAAACCATTGGTCTGATGTACCGAGTTCGTCTAAATGTAAATACAGTTTGTCTAAAGTTATTGTACTTTTCTTTAATTCTTTGTTTTATTAACTATGCCAATATAACATGGGTTTGTACACAACCAATAAAATATGAAAAAAAATACTTAGTTTGCAAAAACATGCCTCTAGAATTATTTTCTGAAAAAAAAAGAGGGGAGTACACTAAACCCAAAATGAGAAATATGAAAGTGAAGGATGAAGACGAAATATATTTTTATCAGCACCTAATTTTCATGTATAATTATAATAATAATCTAACTCTGGCTGATTTCATTTGTAGATTTGAGAAAAATGTAAGTGAAAAGTATTTCTTAAGAACAAATCAATTAAATTCCTTAAAACTGTTATTTAAGTTCCAAGCAAAAAAGCACGTTTTGAATTTTGCGGCATAAAAAACTTTTGTAAAACTATTCAAATGGATTTTACTTATTATTCTTAGTAGTTACTAATGATATATGTGTTTTTTAATGTAAAATTTTTTAATCTTTCTGTATATGCTTGTATGGGAAAAAGGTTACTACATCGGTCCAACAGCATACGTGGAGTAGTGAAATAACATACGCACATTTTTGTTCAAGATCATCCGCATTTTTTTCTTTACTGTATTAACATTTGCCCAGCAACATCCGATATTTCATTGATGTCTAATAACATCTTTAGAAAGATGTAACTAAATCCGGGAGTTTTTTCTCAATGTGCAACTACATCCGCCTAAAATAATGCATTATTAAATAAAATAAAATCCGGACATATTTACATCCGAAAAAAAATCAGATGAGTAAATACATCTGGTTAAAATAATGCATTTTTGAATTTGTTTTTTTCCCGGATGTAGTTACACCCGAAAAAATCAGATTTGTAACTACATCTGATTAAATCAATGTTATATTAAAAAAAAAATTCTGGGATGAAATTACATATATAATTTACATATAGAATTATTGTATTATATAAGTGCTGCTACATCGACTGACAAATAGCATGACTCGCAACGGCGTTCTGCTACATCGACTGAAGGTTTGGTTTGTGCAGGAAGTCTATCAAAAAATTAAATTTGAAAAAAAAAATATTATGTTTAAAATAATGCATTTTAATAATTTTTTTTTGGCGGATGTAGGTACATCCAAAAAACTTCATCTGGGTCAAATAATTCATTATTAAAAAATACTTTTTTTGAATGTAGTTACATCCGAGAAATCTACAGATGTAGTTGCACGGATGTTATTTTAAACCAATGAAATTTCGGATGTTGTTAGACAGATGTTATTATACATCAATGAAATTTGGAATGTTGTTGAGATGTTGTTGCAAAAACAATGATATAGCAAAAGCGGATGTTGTTACACTGACCCGTTTGTATGTATTTCTAATTTTTGAATACCTAGCTTTAAATATAATTATTGCAAAATATCATTATTCGTAGTTGTAAAAATAATTTGCTTTCTGACTACAATTTTAGTTTATTTTATATTTTTTTAACATATTACTTTTATATTTTTAACTCTATCTGACAAAATTTTAATATATTAAGGGGCTCTATGAAAAGATTGAGGTGATATTGCATCACCCATATCTTCTTTGAGTCCCGGTCTGTTTTTAAAATATTTTATTTACTGATAGTTACCATGTAACACTCATCTGTAATTTATTTTAACAGCGAAATATAAACTAAAAAAATAGAAAATGCACACCAAAAGTACGAACAGGGACACCATCCATGCGTAACTTGACTTTGTTAATACTCTGATATTTTACAGCTGTTGATGGAACCAGTCACTCTAAAACCTACCACTGAGTTTGAGAAACCTGACTACTAGTTGGCCTCAGAACCATTAAACTGAGTTTTAGATCTGTATTAAGAGATAATAAATGAGTTGCTTGTCATAAAAACAGAAGCACAAACAAAATTCATGCATTGAATCAAGAAGATCTAGCATTTAACATCCTAAAATAGAAATAATGTATTATAAATATATCTCCGTCAGCCTAATAGATGAAGAAGGAATGCAAGGCTAATCAACGGATAGAACCTGTTTTCCCCTTAAGTCTTTGCCTAGGAGGCCTTCTACAAGACAATAGCCGGATGCGTTTAACATCTGCCCAAGATGAGTATTTTTATCGAGACACCATCTCTACCCTTTACTCAACCAAGATTCCCTAGGCAGTGGTTGTTTTAAGTCAGAGTTGGCTTCTCCTAGTCTGCCTGAAAAAGCGTATCCTGTACGGCAGTATGATATAAAACAGGTTGTACTGGGTTACATGTTACGAGTAGCAGGATAATCTGACCTGACGTTAACGCTTTTACTTCAGCTATAATTACAAACTTTCAGTTAAATCATAGATTTAGTTGATAGTTTATGTGAAACGAATAATGAATTTTATTTGTTTTTTGTTATATCGCATATAAAATAATTATTTGTTTCAATATTATATTGAATATTTTTTGTCTTTAACAGTTTTATACTTTCTTACACTTGAAATTGTTTATGTATAAACAAAACCTGTTGATTTTAAAACTCAGGAAAAATCTGTGTGTATGCGTATGGGTTAGAAGGTAGGAATTCTATACAAGTGATGAGAATCGTAAACTAATTTATAATGTTGTTGAATCATTTTACAGTGAAATAGGCGAAAAATTTTATGAATTAATAAAAGATATCTTTTTTTTTTGTAAAAGAAAAAAATATCAACATAAAGAGTAAAACTATTACTGCAATACAATGAAAAATGTGATAAACTGAGTAAACAGGATTTTTTGTGTGTAGAAACAATACTTGCGAGTATGATTTCTATACAGATGATGACAATGCCTAAATTTAATCAACGTCGCTTTGCAAGAATTACAATGAAACGATAAAGTTCGTTTATTTAATTTGCGAAGAACATATTAAAATCAAGAAAAGAAAAATTCATTCTCTAGATCTACTATTTCACTAGATTACACAAAACCTTTTTATTCGAATATTAATCTGAAAACATTTCATGTAAAAAGTTTTGGTGTAAAAACACGACATTTTTGTAAAGAATCTATACCAGTGACAATAAAGAGGATATATCACTCAGTCCTATGTAACTTTGCATGTGTGAAACTATTGTTTTTTTCGAAATTTTAATCGAAGCAATATTAAATTTTATATAAAGAATGTTTAATCAATTGAATTTGTCAATAAAGTATATAATTTGTTGTTATTTGTTTCTTGTTTGAAAATTTGCATAGAAACTCGACTTTGTTGCAGTGTTTCTATACCATACTTTTATTAGAAATTGCTATAACAAAACCCTTCTGAGATGAATTGACAAAATAACATCATAGGATTAAAGAAGGCACAAAAATATTTCGGAAAAAATATAATGTTTCACAAAATAAAACATTTGTAATGTATTTTGCAAAAGCGTGTAAACTTTTGCATTAACTTGAAATGAAGAAATGTTCGCAACTAAACATTTTTTAGTCAAAATAGTAATAAATACACAGTAGAAAAAGTGCCAAATATTTTTTCTCTTTTTCCAAAAACAGCGGATATTTGTGTTAGTGAAACGAGTAAATTACTTTCCTAGTTTTTTAAGATTAGTGCTAGCCACATACTTAAATAAAAATTAAACTGATTCATAGCAAATTTAAACTTGATAACGACAAATATAGAAACACGACACAAACATCACTTTTTGTGCGCTATCTTCAAAAATTCTTCTATTTTTAATTTATTTTGATGCTAAGAATGTAATCTAAAAAATTTCTGAGCTATTGATGCAAAAACTATAACGTTATAGTCAACCGTTGTGAAATAGGAATCTTCCGTAAAAATGTAGAGTTTCTATACAGAAATTCGTCTAATGATGATGATGATGATGATGATGATGATGATGATGATGATGATGATGATGATGATGATGATGATGATGATGATGATGATGATGACGATGATGATGATGATGATGATGATTATATCTAATATAATATTAAGACATATTTTTATGACAAGTTATGATTTAACACAATCACGTGATGATCACGCGATGAGATTTGAGTTTCCTAAGACTTTGACTCAATGACAGGTTTATTTTCAGAGCAAGTGCAAAACATCTTAGTTACACCTTAATCATTCTCCATTGTTTTTATCAAACGTGTGCCATATGGTAAATACAACAGGCAGTGTTGAATACGTATTTAGATTAGGGTAGAGGGTTGACAGATTTTTAAAAATGCTATTAAGAGGAAACGATTTAAAAAAATATTGGCTTGGGTTAAATTTTTAATTAATAAAATACTTATATAAACAAATTATATTTCACTATTATTATTTATCAATACAAAAAAATTAAAAATATCCATGCATGACCAAGTCATTTGAACATTGGAATTTATCATGAAAATATTATTTTTCTGTATAAAAATATATAGAAAAATAAAAACAAGTGTTTGATGATAATATTATTAAAGTGTTGAAGTGATAAAATCTCCCCCTAACAAAGAAAACCATGTCGGTTCTTTATAACTAATAAAACATATGTAAAACTTTCTAGGAGAAAACTCAAGCAAAAAGAAGTATCGTTTTCCAGACATCAAAAAAATAGCTTGGCATTTTGGGGCGTACGTAGATTACGATAATTCTTGAAATTTGTTAGCCTCGTTTTCATTTGAAAAGTAGCTTACTAAACGAAGCAAAATTTGAAGCAAAATGTTGGTGCTTTAAGTAACAAAATTAACTATCGCGAAATGATCTTTTTTCTTTTGGAGATCGCTTTCGCTTTCTGCGTTTTCCTCCTTCAAGTAAGACATCGACGGCATTTGCAGTATCAGGTTGACACTCGTGACCAATTCTTAAGTATTTGTAAACATTACCGCAAGTGTTATCATCAAAGAAGATGTTTGACGCCGATATTTCGCATGCCTGTTGATTTTTACAACTTTCTTCAACTTTCTTTTTAACAGCTTCTTGATTAGTCTCACATAAAATTTGAGATGTTAATCCTGCTGGTACACTTGGACAAGTAGTATAGTCATCTCGACCCCACATGACACTTTTAATAGTAATTACTTCATAAGGTTTGCATTCAATAAACGTCTTTTCTCCTTCGCATGTTACTTGTGCAGAATCCTTTTTAATAAATTGTATAATTATGTTTAAGTTAAAACATTTTAAAAAAATAGCTAAAATAATTGTTACAATTGTTCAAAAGAGTTGTTGTATACATAAAATGTTTATAAAAGAAGAAAAAGGAAAAAAAATCAGTTTAATAAATTGCTTAACTACTTTTGCTGTTTTAAAAACAATGTTTAAATAAACTGTTTTTAACAGTATTTTTTTGACAAACGGGAGTAAAAAAAGGAATATATATATATATATATATATATATATATATATATATATATATATATATATATATATATATATATATATATATATATATATACATGGCATAAAAGATAAGTTTATAATATAAAATACAAAAAAATGTTCTTAAAAAGCATTGAACTTTTTTTTTTTGTCTTAGTAATTAATTTTTATTAATCTAAAACTCAAGTATAAAAATTCTTAAATTTGATAAATACTTACTGGTGAAATTGTATCTCTTGTTGCTACACTTTCTCCAGATGGACCTTGCACACCAGGTAAACCAGGTGCACCAGGCAAACCAGCTGCTCCTGGTAAACCTGCCATTCCAGGATCTCCTTTTTCTCCAGGAAAACCAGGGGCTCCCATAAAACCTTGTGGTCCTGGTGGTCCCTGTGGTCCAGGAGCTCCGTCTTCTCCCACATGACCGGGTGCTCCAGGCGCACCAGGTAACCCAGGTGGCCCAGGTTCTCCAGCAGGACCTGGTGGACCTGGAGGCCCAGGTGGTCCGTTAAGACCTTTTAAGAAAAATCCAAGTGTTAGATTCTGCTCTAACAGTTGACTGACCATAAGTTGATCAATGAACGGCTGAGTTATTCGATCACCAACTCTCGGCCAGTCAGGCAAAATTCTTTGCTGAGAGTTCTAAAATATGTATATTTTAAAATTGTTATAAAAATTTGTTTAACATATGCAAAATGATGTCATAATTTACATTATTATTTATATAAAGTAAAATACTAAATGTGTAAAATACCTTATCTCCATGTTAAATGCCTTATGTTTAGTATGAGAACAAGATAAAAAGAATAACTAAGTATTGCTTTATATATCAACAAAAATGCACTACAAGCATATAGTTAGCAACATTAAATAAAAAAAAATGAAGTCCAGTTCAACAAGTTTTTTTATTAATAAATAACAAATCAGCTTGACTAAAATACTATTGTACAAAAATAAAGCCAAAAAACATGGCTTCTATATGACATATATGCACTTGACTAACACACAAAAGGCTACATTTAATTACTTACTGATATTTTTTTTATCTATTTTTTATTTATTAGAAATTAATATTTAAGAAAAACTTTTTTTATAAAACTAATTCAAAAAAATCCATTCATAATTAAATGAATAATTTGGATTTAAGCCTTTAGCTCACACCCAATAGTTTTCCAAATAAATAAAATTCTTTGTGTGTTCAAATATCAAACCGTAATATGTAACTATGACTCCCCATCTCATTCTGAAAGTTATTACATTGGATATTGTAGCTTTATCATACTTTAAATAAGTTTGAAAAAGCCAGATAAAGCGTATCTAAGAAATGGGAAGTTTAGTTTTTTAAAAAAATATACTTTTCAAAAATATCTTCCAAAAATTATTATATTTAGAAGCTTTTTTAAGCTAATAAATAAGACAAAAGTAATTAAAGATGGTAGCAGTCAATTTTATGAACTTAGAAGCTCTGCTGAGGTACTGTAATAAACTTTAAACATGTTATACTAGCTTTTATTTTAGCTTTAATTTTCAAGTTTACTAAAATTTTCTTAATCAATTTCAAACAATTCTTCTAGCAGCTATACAGATTTGAAATGAGACGGACATTGGTTATTTTACCAACAATTTGTCAATCATCTGAGTTTTTATGCGTTTTTATTAGTACAAAAGGATGATTAATGATAAATTTTTAACTATCTCTAAATGATCTTTTTTCTTTGGCTGCTCTCTTTTTCTTTCTTCTTCCTCCTTCTCTTAATACATCAACAGCATTAGACTCATCGGGTATGCATTCGTACCATATTTTAAGATATTTATACACATTACCGCAACTATTATCGTCAAAAAAGATATTTGAAGCTACAACCTCACATGCTTGTTCGTTTTTACATTGCCCATTTACTTTTGCAATAGTATTTTCAGGGTTTGTATCACAAAGACGAGCATTGTCTAGACCAGCTGGTACTTTGGGGCACGTTATTTGATCGTCTCGACCCCAGAACGCATTTTTAACTTTGATTAACTCATATTGTTTACATTGTAGCCATCCTTTCTCTCCCTCGCAAATGACAGTGAAGTTCTTAAAACAAATTTTTTTTATATCAAAGAAATGAATACATTTATGAAAAAAGTGACCAAACAATAATTTTAAAAATATTTATTAGTATATTTATATATAAAAATTAAATCTTAAGTACGTACGGGCATGATAGCTTCGGGTGCTGAATCACCAGAAGGACCTTGCGGACCTGGTAAACCAGGTGCACCAGGCAATCCTGCTGCTCCAGGAAGTCCAGTCATACCAGGATCTCCTTTTTCTCCAGGATATCCAGGAGGACCTGGAAGTCCAGGTTGACCAGGTGGACCCATTGGACCAGGGGCACCATCTTCTCCAACATGACCAGGAGCTCCAGGGGCTCCAGGCAAACCAGGTGGTCCTGGCTCTCCAGCTGGACCAGGTGGACCAGGTGGTCCAGGTGGACCATTTAATCCTTTTAAGAAAAAACCAAGTGTTAGGTTTTGTTCAAGTAGTTGACTGACCATAAGTTGATCAAGAAATGGTTGCGTTATACGATCTCCGATTCTCGGCCAATCTGGTAATATTCTTCCTGCTTGCTGTGACAACTAAAATGCACATCAAACTCATTGAGTACACATACATAGATTAAACAATTGTTGCGTACGTGTGTTATTGTTGTACCAGTGTGTTTTCTGTTATATAATCGGTTTGTGTTTAAATGTATGCAATAAATAAGCGTACAGTAGCACATTATCCAGCAGTTCTGTTTAGTTATGTTTGAAAGTATTTTTAAGATGGTGTCATTATGTGAATAGTTTCTATTGTGTTGCCGTGTTTCAAAACGTTGTGTATTCCAATATTTATAGATTATAAGTTATATATATTTATAGTGTACAAAGTTTTATAACGTTGTGCGTGCAAATATTTGTTCATTTTTGTTTAGTCTTGAAAATGTATTTATGCTCCAATAAAATATTAAAGTAAAAAAAAAAACTCTACAAAATGTTTGTAAATAAGAATAACGTTTTGTAGATATACCTGAAGAGGTGTTGCGTAGATTTGTAAAAGTTGTATAGATAAGTTATCATTTTAATAAATGTTATTATGAAATATTAAATATTATTATTATTTAATATTGTATTATTGTTGTTTAAAATTTAAAAAATTAATTGTCTAGAGTAGCTGTCTATCTTGTCCCTTACTTCAGACGTTCATGTATTTAGTTTAAACTGTTAACACAAAAATTAAACTCAATATTAACAAACTAATCAGCAAAATTTGGTAAATAATTCAGTAAACTAGTCATTAAGCTACAGTATCAGTATCAAAAAACTGGTCAGTAAACTACAGTATCGACAAACTGGTCAGTAAACTACAGAATTAGCAAACTGGTCAATAAACTACTGTATCAACAAATTGGTCATTAAACAAGAGCAGTAAATGTTTTAGTAAAAGTAAAAAAAGCATAAAAATTATATAACATTTACGTTTCTGTAACGTAATCGTAAATTGTTTAATGTAGTTATTTAACTTTTGTTACCAACTTATATACTTATATAAGTTTCATATATCTATTACATAATTAATAATAGTATACATTACATATAAATTTAAAAACACGACTTACCGAAACATCTATCAGTAGGACCAAGAAGAAAACCGACAGGCACAAAAGGCCTTGCTGCACGCGCATTCTAAAGATAATATTTAATACTTTAAATAACCTCTAATTTAAGTAAGTAAGGAGACATTTAATTTATTGATAGAGGAAGGAAGAGTCTTTAAAAAATTTTTGGCAGTGGAAATGTCATTTGCATATTTTTAAGCTCACTTACGTTGAGGTTCGAAATAATTTCGAAAACTTCTAAATCTATAAAAAAATATTCTTCTAGTGCAGTAGTAAAGAAAATGTTACTTGAAACATTAATAAGTTTGTTTTCGTTTACAGAGTTAGCAATTTCTATTCAGAGGGATGATCATATTGTTTGAATGAATATGAACCAGTTGTGTATTCATGATGTCATACACATACAACGCTCTTTTCAAATTAAAGCCATTTTTTTAAAATGTAGCACATTTTTTAAAAATGGCTTCGTTTTAAAATAAATTTCAGGACTTCGGTGGAATGAAAGAGAAAACAACTTTAGCCATCGTCATAAAAATAAATAAAAAATTAAGATGTCCCTAAAACATAATACTTTTTAACCAGCCTCAGTAACCATACCTGTAATTTTACGTGACTATTATTATTAAGTAACAAATTGTCGAACAACGTTTTTACTATTGAAGACTTATTTATTAAACTAAGTTAAGCAAAATAAAAGTTTGAAAACTCGTAAATGTAAAATTGGCGTAGCAAATTGCGTCAAAAAAAAGTAAGTTCGAAAGGTTATTCACGCACGCGCGATATGTGCAGAAAATGCGTTAAAACGCCGAACGTGCGCCGAAAGTTAAGCGAAGCGCAAGATTTGTTTATGCTTTCCCGTTCGACAACAAACAACCGCTAAGTACTCGATAGAGCGTTTTAAACGTTAGCCTCAGTAACATTTAATTAGATTGAATTAGTTTGAATTAAATAATAAAATATCTTTAGATAGAAGAAAAGCTTATTCATGGCCCCATTAAGTGTTTGTTTCTACGTTTTCGTAAGCACTATTAATTACGTTTGAACAAACGCGCCTAAACAGGTTAGGAAACAAGCTTGTATAAAGAGTTTAAAAGTTTACAGGAAACGTCTAATTTAAATCAGTGAACTGTAAAAATTAAAAAAAAAATTTAATTAAATCTAACCGAACAAACAAAAAGTTTTTATTTTAACAAAACCAAACAATAAACTTTCTTTTTATTACCTTTCAAAAAAATTATTTATATAAATTTAACTTTAAGTTTAAAATATTTTAAGTTATTCAAAAATTAAAAATATTTAAAAATATTTACTTATCATTAGCTGTTTATAGGGCGATCAAAAGATCAACCCTCTGGGTAAAAATATTTCCAACCATTACATAAGTCAAAACCACATTTTGTTTTCGTTTTTTAATTGTTCACAAACTTAATTTGTTTTAAAGTTATTTTAAGATAGTGTGTGTGTGTGTGCTTGCGTGTGTGTATGTATATATAATATGTGCGTGTATATACATGCACACACATATTATATATACATATATAAATATACATATATATGTGTATATATATATATACATACATACATACATACATACATACATACATACATACATACATACATACATACATACATACATACATACATACATACATACATACATACATACATACATACATACATACATACATACATAGTGAAATGAAATTTTATAAAACATCCAAAAACAATTATCATTCTACAGGTAGAGTTCCTTTAAAAACATATACTCCCTTAAACACTTCAGGTATAAACTTTCAGCTTTGGGTTCCACTAATGACAATGAAATTATTAAATAATGATTAAATCAGTATCTCTTAACATCCTAGATGACAAGTTAATTAAAAATTTACCTCTTTTATAATTTTAAAATTCTCAAAAAGAGAATGCAAATCAAATTTTTAGTTTTAAAAATGGCTCAATTTATGCATTATGACCATGTTTAATAGTTTAATTTTAAATTTGCAATTTACTTATTTCTAGATAATGTTACACTTGTTCTAATCCACCAATATAATACTAACTAATTTACAAACTCTTAAAGATGTTTATTTTGTATTTTTTTCGCAGTGCTATGGATGTAGTTTTTAAGGGGTCATTAGCCTTAAAATAGGAAATCTAGCTTTTAATACAATAACAATGTATATTTTGAATAATAGGAAATATGAAAAATAATAAGAAAAGTATATTCTTATTATTTTTCGTATTTCCTATAATTCAAAATATACATTGTTAAAAGTTATTCAACACAATAACAGCTTTAATAACAACAATAACTATTTTTTGAATAACATAAAATGACAATAAAATATGAGTAGCATAAAATATTTTGAAAAAGAGACATACAATAAACAAACATTTCATCTAAAGAAATATCTTTGAGTCATTAAGGTTTATTTGAATCAGAACCAAAATAGAGTGTTTTTTTTTTAAGAATCAGAGGATGATGCTGCAGATGCAGGGAGAATCATTGTAGTAAAATGGCTTGTTGCTATTTTGTTATCAATGCAACAAGCCATTTTACTACATACAGATTTAAGAATGGAATGACATTGCGAACACTCTTTTAAAGATCTTGCAAGACATTCTTCTACACAAGAGCATTGGCAGAAAATGTGCCATTTTTTGTCAAAGTTTTTTTTGAAAACTGCATTGACATTGCAGTTTGCAACGATAAAACAGTTCTTTTTTTTTAAGCTTATGTTTCTTTTTCTCTTCTGAATCATGATTTTTTTTCTGTTTTTCTCCTTAAGAAAAGCCACTTTTGAAAGCACATCTTGAGCCTCCATAGATCCATGCACATTAGTGACTCTTGTTGTTTTTGCTTGATTAACTTGGGTTTCATCCGTTTTACTAAAAGTAAACCAGGCACTTCTGCTAAATTGAGGCTTTTCTCATATGATTCCTCAATGAATGATTGTGAAATTTTATACTTTGATTTCCAATATTCGGCTGAACCATACCTTCCTTTTGTTTGGGCAACTTTGGATCGTGATCTTAGAGTTGTTGCCAAGGGTCCGTCTTTTGAGGTCACACTTCTTGTTTTCTTAGGAGTAGAAGGTTCGAGAGAAACATCATTACTTTTATCAATAAGGAGAGCTACTTGTTCAAATTTATCCTGTTGCATATCATCAACATTAAGACCATTCTTACTTATACCAACTCTCTTAGCAGATGCTACGATATTGGCAGCGGATGCCCAATAGTTCCACATTGTTTCAAGAATATTCATGAATCTTTCTCGATTTATTGTCTGGAAAGAGGAAAAGAGTACATCTCGGGTGTTACTATAATATCTATCAAGCTGTTGATTTGGTGCTTGGTCTAGTACCTGTGTGACTCCAGTAGTTTCAGGCGGAGACACAAATAAATTGATTTGCTTTTCACGCAAAAAATTTAAAACTTTACCCAGCGGGCATTTGTTTTTAAAAGTTACGTTCTAAATGTATTTTAAATGTCTTTTAAACGTCTTTTAAACATTCTTACGTAAAGAACGTTAAAAAGACGTTTAGAACGTAACTTTTAAAAACAAATGCCCGTAGGGTAAAGTCAAATTGCGACGAATGACCGTCTGATAAAAGCACAACTGATCGCTCTATACCTTGTTCGGTGAGATGTTTATCAAGTTTCTTATACGCAACCAATAATGAACAGTTGTCTTGCGAACCACTTTCTGTCGTGGAGATGATCAAACTTTTGATGTTACTGACAGCTTTTTGTGGTGCCATCTGGCTCGTTATGCCTTTGCCAGCAAATATTACCTGACATAATGAAACCTCCCCTAAAAGTATAAATATTATATTTCACTTTTTAAAAAATAAAACTATAAAAGCCACAATTTTAGTTGTAAAAAGTTGTTTAGTTGGCTCACCTGAAAATGAAACAAATGGGTTTTATAGTTATGCACTCTCTGTTTTCGCGAATCATTTTTTTACATGTCTCTCCTTTGCCAGCATAAACTAACCCAGTAGCAGTACCATCTACACCGTAGTTGACAAACTATGGTGTTTCATCATGACTGAAAACTCTTTCTGTTGCAATATCACCTACCCATACACCATTTTTTATTTTTTTATAGTTCTTTATTATACTACAAGCAATCAGTTCATCAGCTAAGGCATCTGGAATAAAAAAAGTTGTAAAATTAGTAATATAATCAAGTTACATAAATTATCAACGTACAAAACATATAAACTTATTCAAGAATAAAAACCAAGTTGTAGAACACTTGAAAATGAAATTGAAAATAGATCTTTTTATATTCAGGCTAAACTAAAAAAACAATATGTGATAAAAAATGTGTACCAAGATGATCAGTAGCCATCTCCCTAGTACAATTTAGGGCTCTGCTCATTTTAATTCAGCCTTGCCTTTTAATGACAATATCATCATGTTCAGCATGCCATTTTCTCCAAAATGATTTCCTGAGTCTAAATAGTTTGGATTATAAGGTTCAGTATTTTTCATCTATTTAATATCTACTGTACCCTTGTACCTGTTTGAATGTTGATAAATTAGTTTAAAGAAAAAAAATTACTTACCTTCCATTCTGTAGGGCTGTTTTTGCACTTTTCCATTTTTGTTCAAATGATCTTTAATTTTCAGAACATCCAAAATAATTTCAGAAACATCTTTCTTAGAAAGTCTATGATGGTCTCTGTTTTTGTTTCTTATAAAACAAAATATTTCCTTCTTATCATCTAGATGTAACACTCTCAAATGTTCCTTTTTTACATTCTTAACTTTGCCACCTAATCTTCTGTCTATTATACCGCGATCTTTAATTAAAGGAAACTTTCCTGTTTTTAATGCTGCCTGTCTTCGTTTTTTATTTTCTGTGCACGAATCTACTGCCTCTGCTATTTGATTTTCTTTAGCTCTTATGTCTTTTCTGTAAACTGTTGCTTCAGCTCAAATTTCTGGCTTTTTTTTTTGTTCTACCTCTTTTCTCAACCAGCAGAAATCTTAAAATTAAATTGCGGTTTTCCCATACTATTATTTTATTTAAGCACTGAAAATAAAGAATATACATACTTGATTAGAGATTATGAGCACAAAATGAACAGAAAGGTACCAGTTATAACCATTTTACCATTTCTCAGCTAAGGAAGATCAGTATAAACATTCTCTCACTCCTGGCTATTCTAAGTAAGCTTGTGGAGGCATATTTTACCTAATGTAATGTAGTATTTAAGGGGGGAATAGTGTAGTATTTAAGAGACTTTACTAGCTAAAATGCTATTTTTTGTTGGACTAAGTTTGCAAGCCTCCTTACATATCATACTACACTAATTTCTGATAAAATAAGAAAATAATTTATAACTTTCAGAAATTTTTCATCCATATAAATACAATTATGTTCCTTGTAGTTTTTAAGGGGAATCTTTGAAAAAATTAGAAAATTTACTCACTAAATATGGCTAATTCTCACTAAATATGGCAAAACAAGGATAACGACTTCCAGGGAAGAAAAAACCTATAATAGGTGTTTTTAAATCACAAAAAAAAAAAATTTAATAGTTGACCTGTAACGGATGTACTTCATTTTCAAAATTTGCGTAGTTTTTAAGGGGACTCTACCTGTATATAAAGATTACTAAATTAAATTTTATGGCTTAAAAACTATCGTTAACAAAAAATAAAAAAGTACATAATTTCATAGTTTTTTCGAACAAACATTTTAAATTTGTGTTTTCGTAAAAAAAATTTAATATTTTTTAAGTTTTT